AGGTTCATTAACATTCTGAATGTCTCAGGGGTCAAACGAGCTCCCAGCCTCCCACCTTAAGTTAGGGTCTGATGCTATTCTTGCAGCTTTTATAACAATGTTCAAGAAGCAGAAACTGAGTCTCGATTGTTCTACGAACCACCATACGCCACTGGTCACTGAAATGAGTGAAAAGAAGACTGGAATCTGCAGTTATGAAACTGACTGATGCTAAGCTGTACTCACTGGTGCCAGACTACCAGTGCCTGATATACATTAACTCACCGAGGGTGAACAGAACAGAACACAGGCAATCTGAGAATCTTGAGACCAGTGAAGTGTGTAAGAGGGGATCATGTTGAATATTAAATTGTAACTTAATATTACAGCGTTGGCAATACTTAATAACAAGCCACAACCCTATTGTGTATGACTAAACAACCTGGCCTCCTCAACTGCGGGCGCCACGTCTGAACAATTTTCAACCCAGTGAAGAAACATCTGTTAGGATCATCTATAGTCTATGGAGAAACTTGTAGCAGTAAACACACAAATGTGTTTTCTCTGAGAAAATAAGCAAGTACTCATCCTGCTATTGCCTAATTCCTTCATGAATCATGATTTTCAGGATTATTAACCTCTAAATTAAGAGCTCATTTATAGCACAACATGTCAGGTAGGTTAAGGAATGAAAAAGTCGCTCCTCAGGTTGTATGACAGGTATGAGACGACTGAACTAAAGCAAACAAGAACCCAACTGGACTTTTCTTTAAATACTTGGTAGAGCCACACTCAACAGAGGTCCCTGTGCACTGACAATAAATATGTTTAGAGAAGGTTACCAAACAGGGAGACTTCTAAAAGAATTTAAAATAGAGTCTTTATTGACATATGCTAGAAAATGGCCACAAATGCACCAGCAGAGCGTAAGATACACAAATTCTTCCTGTTTTACCTTGAGGAGAGGATGATTCAGTGAAACAATGATTCGATGAAGCAATGACTGGCCTATTCCCAAGGCCAACACAGGGACTGGGCATGTGTCAGAAAGATCGGATTAAATAATATTAAACAAACGCCACTCCACCCTCAACTACAACCACAGCTCAAGTAGCCCTTTCAGGCCGCGAACGGATTCCAGAGGTTAAAGCAAGAGGAGAAACGGATGAAGACACCGAGCTGGGGAGACGCTAGGTCACACAGCCAGTTCGAGAGGCACAGACGGGACTCTGCCTTCCTGCTTGCTGACAGCAACTAGAGCGCTCACCACAAAACCAATGCAACAATAGAGAAAACAAGCCTGTTTGCTTTCTTTTCATCCACTGATAAGCAATATTCTCTAGGTCAGGGGCCCACTGCCTGCTTTTTGTACAGCCTATGCCAAAACCCCAAAGTGGATTTTACATTGTTACATGGCTCAAAAATATTATCCAAAAGAGAGGATTTTGTAACACATGAACATTATATGAAATTCAAATTTTAGTGTCTGTAAAATTTTTTCTGTTTTTTTTTTTGTAACCCTCACTTGAGGATATTTTTCCATTGATTTTTAGAGAGAGTGGAAGGGAGGAGAAGAGACAGAAATATAAATGTGAGAGAGACATACAGATTAGTTGCCCTCACATGCCCCCCCTACCAGGGCCAGGGATTGAGCCTGCAACTGAGGGATGTGGCCTTGACCAGAACTGAACCTGAGCCCTTCAGTCTGCGGGCCAATGCTCTATCCACTGAGCCAAACTGGCTAGTGCTAAATAAAGTTTTAGTGGAACACACACTCTTGTCCACAAAGTTGACTAGTTGTAAGAGACACTATATCCCAAAAAGCCTAAAATATCTACTGTCTGTCCTTTTCAAAAAGAGTTTTACAGACTTCTGTTTCCTAGTAAAAACACACACAGTGACTGTGGTATATGCGGAGTTACCTGGGGGAAAAGAGAACATGGACCCCGGGGGAAAACTAAAGCGTGTGTGCACGCTGTAGCCTTTCAATTCACAGCCAATAGGCAAGTGTGGCAGAGTGCCAGGGAGGAGAGGCACGTGACCAGGTTTCACATCACTGCCATGCTGTGCACACAAAAAATCTCCACTATTCAGACCTGACGATCTTCAAGAACTAAGATGCTTAACATGTTTTCTCCAACTACACGAAGTGCCAACATACACAAAGCATGAGGCAGAGGCCTCCCCCATCAACACATCACACGGTTCTTACCTCCGGCTGCTCCTCAGAATATACCCGCGGGGAAGAGTGAAGAGGATACGTGTGCAGTGTTGTGTGAATCCTAGGTTATAAATCAAACTCCGCGCTCTCGTTCTAGCTCGGACTGATCTTGGCTAGCCACGTGACTCTGAACCTCTGATTCTTTGATCTATGAAACTAGAGGCCCGGTGCACGAAATTCGTTTGACCTAGGCCTGGCCGGCAATCAGGGCCAACTGGGGGGCAACTGGCAGGGTGAATGGGGAGTCCCGTGCTGGCACCTGCCTTGGCCTGCCTGGCCCCGCACACTCGCCAGCCGGCCCCGCCCCCCACCGCCTCCCTCTGCGGGGGAAGGATGGGGGGTGATTCGGGGGAGCCCCCGCTGACACCCGGCTTGGCTGGCCTGGGGCCTGCGGGCTGGGGGCAGCTCCTGTGTCGAGCGTCTGCCCCCTGGTGGTCAGTGCGCATCATAGTGACCGGTCGTTTTCCCATTTGGTTGATTTGCATATTAGGCTTTTGTTATATAGGATGAGGCACCCTGACCAACCAGAGGAATATTATCTTTCTCAACGCCTAAAACTAGAAGAAAAAGAAAACAGGAAAGAGATGAGGGAGTTTTTTATTTTTAAAAATGTTTTGTCTTCTTTATAATGGACAAGATACCATCACAATGGAGATATCTCTCATGGGAAAGCACGCATTGGGCTGTGCTCAGTGACACTAACCACTGCCCTGTTAAGGTGGAGGACTGAGAAAAGGCATTTGAATTCGAGGATATGAGTTTGTTCCTTCTCTTTTTGTAGGGGCTTCTGGAAACAAAGACACATGTACCCTACCCATGCAGGGTGTGTTCTCTTTTCTTTCCCCAGAGGCAAAAGCAACATTGGTCTGAAACGCCTGCTACACAAAGAGCCACCCAGGCATTAGTCATGAGTATTATCTGCACTAAGGAGCGGGTTAGAACGGTCAGCACTCCCTCCCAATGCGCTCCAATAAAACCAGGCTTGTTTATCACCCTTCAGACACTTGGAACAGTTTAGGAGGAACTAGTGGAACTTTAAGAAGATATACCACTTAGCCCTCTGAAGAACCAAACCAGTGCACCATCTGGTCTAGACAAGGAGGACTAATGTTCTGAGAGACCACATAACTGAGTGCGGTAACTTGATTTTCAGCTTCCGAAAGGTTTTTGCTTTTCTTAAACCAGTGTGGAATTTCAAACTGAAAGCAATGTTTCTCTCTACAAGTTAAAGTTCCTTGTTTTTAAAATTCATAGCTTTAAAGAAGAAGAAGAAAAGTCATTTCAAGAACCTGAAGGAAAGCATTTCTAAACTTACTGAATATTAAATACAGAATTGCCATACGATCCAGCAAATCCACTACTAGGTATATAAAAACATACGTCCACACAAACTTGTCTGCAAGGATGCATAGCAGTATTACTCACAATGGCCAAAAAAACCAATCCAATGTACAACAAAATGCGGCATATCTACAGAATGGACTATTACCAATAAAAAGAAATGAAATATTGATCGATGTTACATGGGTAAACCCTGAAACACTATGCTCAGTGAAAGACCCACATACTGTATAATTCCATGTATATGCAAATCCAGAATGGACAAATCCACAGACAGAGAGAGGATCAGTGACCACCAGGAGATGGGGGGAGGATGGGTGGACTGCTAATAAAAGTGGGGTTTCTTTTGTGGGATAACCATACTGTCCTAAAATTAGATAGTGGTGACAGTTGCAAGACTCTGTAAAGCTATTAAAAACTACTAAACTGTGCATTTTACTTGAATGAGTATGATTTCATAGTATGAGAACTACATCGCAATAAGCTGTTATGAAAAAAGATAACATCTCGCCCTAGTTATTTTGGCTCAGTGGTTAGAGAGTCAGCCCGAGGACTGAAGGGTGTTCGATTCCGGTTAAGGACATGCACCTCGGTTGCAGGCTCCAGCCCCAGCCCAGAGTTGGTGCATGCGTGGGGGGCAACCAATCGATGTGTCTCTCATTCTCCCCCTCCCTCCTTCCCTTCCACTCTCTATAAAAACAAAATCAATTGAAAAAATATCCTCGGTGAGGATTAACAAAAAGAAATAACATCTCAATAGAGCTACTATGAAAAAACACCTACTAACCATTTTTTTCATCATTTATGACAGACTTCATATTGCAGACAGATAATGTTGAGCTCTAAGTTAAAATCTCATTTTTGCTGCTATCAGTTTCTACATAAAGAAAAGGAGCCATAGCAGGTTTGGCTCAGTGGATAGAGCGTCGGCCTGCGGACTCAAGGGTCCCAGGTTTGATTCCGGTCAGGGGCATGTACCTTGGTTGCAGGCACAACCCCAGTGGGGAGTGTGCAGGAGGCAGCTGATCAATGTTTCTCTCTCACGATGTTTCTAACTCTCTATCCCCCTCTCTTCCTGTCTGTAGAAAATCAATAAAAATATGTTAAAAAAAAAGAAAGAGAAAAACAATAGAAAGTGGTAGAACATCGGACTAACATCCCTTTGGTAATTCTCATTTTGTGATCCATTAAACTTGATGACAAACTGAAAGGTCTTGTGCTCACAGGGAAACTAAAATCTTTTCCATCACCATCTCCAAGGGATCCACTCCGGAAGGCCTTATACAATCTGCCCTGTGGTGTACACCATTGATGAAAGCTTAACTGCAGAGCCACGGTTACATGTCATGGAACGAGAGAAAGGAAAATACACTCCCCAAACAAAAAAACAAGGCCGTAAATCAGGCCCGCCGGGCCACGCGGAACACGGCTGGTGCCGGCGAAGATCAAGGCCACTCACCGACGGTGTCTTCAGGCCTGGTCTCGTCCCCGAAGGTGCAGCCGTGTCGCCTCCAGCCGCCTCCTCAGACACGGAGCTCTGCCTGGGATTCCTCAGAAAGTCCACCTCATCGTCGGCCTTGGTGTCGGGCATTTCTGAAGAGAACACGAGGGTTACACAGTGCATTCGGAACACTGATTCCCGCGCCTCACTATTGACACACATGCTCCGGGTTTGACGTGTTTCTGTGTGTTTGCTTTGGGGCTACGTGGAAAGCATTCTTTTACTTTCAGGAGTTGGTGTCATTTCTGACCCGATGCTGAGCTATTCCTTTGTTACATGGCTGCATGGTTTTCTCTGGCTTTCGTATGGGTTTGTAGGTAAGGGAAGGTCCAATTCAATGTTTACTGAACTTCCATTTTCACCACTGACTTTTCATGACAAACCTGAGGGTGGTGCTGACTTACATATGCTCCAAGGTAACAGATTAACAGCTGAAGCTAGGCGGTCCATCTCCACCATCATCCGAGAGGCAAGAGATGCTTGCATGTGTACAGGACAAAAAAGAAAGCACTGAGGGAAAGCCTTTGAGAAGTCTTTCTTTAAAAATACTACATACAGCCTGGCCAGAATGGCTCAGTGGCTGAGCGTCGACCTATGAATCAGGAGGTCATGGTTTGATTCCCGGTCAGGGCACATGCCCAGGTTGCAGACTCGATCCCCAGTAGGGGACATGCAGGAGGCAGCTGATCAATGATTCTCTCTCATCTACCTATCTCTCCCTCTCCCTTCCTCTCTGAAATCAATAAAAACAATTTTAAAAATAAAAAACACTATATGCATTCATTTACCCAGAACTGCAAATGGTAACACTAACTGTTCTAGTAAGTTACTGTTTTAACTTTTGTTTCTTCTCAAACCGAGACATAATCACAAAGGAGCAATTCCTTTTTTAAGAAAAAGTTTTCCTTTTTTAAGAAAAAGGCTTCTCTAGAATTATGCTCAACACAGACCAAACCATAGTGGTTACCTGGTCACCGTATGGGTAAGCAAACACAGGAAGGACGTGCTAAAATATCTGAAGCAAATTTAGGCTTTGGCACTTCTTTGAAGGGGACTGATGACCGAACAGTCAAAATTCACCTTGATAATCCAAACACAAATGGAACGGTCATCTCAATTTCACCTGGAAAACTTCCTGCGGTTGTTATTAATCTAGTCATGCCACTGCTCTGGCAGAGGGAGCTGCTCCCTACACCCAAGGGCAGAGAAGCTTCTTTCACGGAAGAACAGACTATATTAAAACCAGTGGCCCGGTGCACGGATCCATGCACACTGAAAGGAGATTAATTAGAAGAAATATTTTAATATTGCTATTCACCCTTTCTAATACAAGTGTCAGAGATGAAAGAAAATTAGTAAAATGTATATGAAAATATATAAATTGATTAATAAGCAATAACAACTTTATATAACAAAGACATGATATAGAAGCAACAAAAACATGATAAAAAACATCAATAAAAACAATGACTGATAAATTGATTAAACTCATTCTAATATCTCCCTGTATACCACATTTAGAGTAAAAACACTTTCAGAGCACTTGACTAATTTCCCTTGTGATGAAGGATGTACAAACTTTAACTTTAACGTCACATGCTCTTTGAACTCGAGAGAAAGCAACCTATAACTGACCATGTCAGAAAACGAGTTCAGGTAGGAATATTCCCACTCTGCCTAGAGTTTGTCCTTGTGACTTATCAATAGTCATCACAAATGCTGGCATCACGGGAAACTGTCTTCGAATTAACTTAAATGGGAGGCCAGTGTCAGGCGGGGATAAATCAATTCTTGGAATCAGAACAACCTCTCCTTCCACAGATCCTGTGAATACTTCGCTTCCATTATGTCAGGTCGCAATCTTTTGATAATAAATCTAGGACCATTACAAAAACCCCATTTACTATTAAGATTTCTCATTAGCATGATGATTGCACCTACTTTCAATTTTAATTTATGACACAGCATTCCCAAAGGAGTAATACCATTAAGAAATTCCATGGAAGCTTTATATGTATCGCGCATGTGCGAGTCAATGTTTATTTTTAAATTGCCAGGTGTGTGTCATGTACCAGACGGTCGGACGGTCGGACAGACATACAGTTGGTCACTTAGCCTTTTATATATAGAGATTTTGTCCTAAAAGGACACTGTGACATGAACAAGGATCTACTTTAGATTTAGGAAAGTTACATTGCTATAAACAAACCTTTATACATCTCTTCTTTCTTTGCCCCTATAATTACATAATCTTACTAGCAATTTAAAAACAGGCAAGGAAATCCAAAGAGCCAAACTCAGTCCTGTACTTCAACAATGTGATTAAATTAAAAAATCTGACTAAGCCATGCCCTTAGAAGCATTCCTTGACCAAGATATTTCAAGGTGAACCAGAGTAGATTTTTTACTGTTGTTTTTATTTTATTTTATTTATTTGGGGGATGTGATTTTTGGCATGACCTTGCTATCCTGTGCCAATCAACTGATAATACGGATTTTTGGCAAGCATTGGCCAGCCGCAACGGTAAACAGTGATTACTGACACTTGACTAGCCTGGCTCACTCGTGTACAACCAGGTTCCCACACCCCTGAGACCAATGCTCTTGGGGGAAGGGCTCACCCCCTCTTTCTACCCAGAAGCTGTGTGTTTTCCCCATTTCAATTTCTATTTGGCTTAATCCACAGCAGCAAATAACAAAACAGAAGCCAGGGCCCTGGGGCTCCTTCCAAATCAGCAGGTAAACTCATGTCCCTTCACTCATGAGACAGGCTGGTTATGCTCATGAATGGAATATGAACTTCCTAGAAAAAAAAACCCTTTTGCTCTGAGATCACACTCGGGGCTTTTTTTCCAGGGCAATGTGACCAGGGGCTTTCCCCAATCCGGGCTATTTTTCTGAAGAAAGCACAGATTTTTATCACTGGCCACTTCTCTCTGTAATTTGAGACCATGAGCTCTGAGCACATATGACTCCTCTTGGTAACTGAACAAGTAACTTGCCCACACATACCAACCAACAGCCCCAAACCCAGAGATACCGTTGAACTGGCATTCATCGCGTTTTCCTTCCTAAAACTTGAAGATCTTTTCTATATGCAGGTGCTGATAAATATCAAGGTCTGAAATTCTCCCTGGTTTCTACCTTTCTGAGGGCGCTACAGACACAAAGCTCCTATAGTTCACGCTGCCTTGTGTTAAGTCGCACTGAGCCAGAAAGAGAAACCATGCCAGCGCATGTGGCCCAAGGCGCTGCACCCAAAGGAAAGGAACCCGGCCAGGCATCAGCTTACAGCCGTTCCCCTTCCTCCCAAATGTCAACCTGCCGCGCCCCCAAAATAGACTTGTTTTTGTGCCTTATTTTAAAGAGTGGAGACCTCCTCACTGAAATTCTGAGAGAGCAGCCAACAAGTTTCTCCCACTAGCGATACAAAACATCAGTAAAACGAAAACCCTAAAGTCACCAAAAAATACTACTGAACGTTTCTTAAATACCTCCACTGAATTAAAAAAAAAAAGTTATAAATGATTAACAATGCTGCTTCGGGGAAATGACAATGTGTTTGCACTGCTCTATTTCCTAAGCAACGCCTTTTCACGTTCTGTTTGTTCATTTCTCTACACACCCCACCCCACCCCCACACGCTTAACTCGTACTGCACTTAAAGGGATTTTCAAAAATGAAGTAAAAACATCAAAAACACAGTCAGACAACAACAACAAAACAGGCTAGGTCTTACCTACAACAGCCTGGGGCCAAACATGGAGGCGGGTCCTCTGTCTATACCTGGTAACAGGTGGTGGTATCAAAGCGAATCGAACTGACCTTGACAGGTTTCGGGAGGAACACGGAGCCTGGCTCCAGTTTCAGCTCCGGCCAACTCCCAGGGAGAAGTTTTACTCAGAGAGCTGGTCTGCCCTGCGCAGTGGGGGTGCTCTGCTCTGTGGACATGGAGCAGGCGGCTGTGTGAGCAATCAGCTCGCTGCAGCTGCTTCACCAAGATAAGCAGACACCCCCTGTGACAGCAGCTCAGCAGACTGGGCTGGGGCGGAAATCCTGCATCCTATGCCTGCACGGTGCAGCGGCCTGCATTCCCAGACTGCCGCCCAAAAGCCACAGGCCATGGGATGGGAGGTCTGGTCCTAGAGCAGGAAGAGGAGGGGGTGCCACCCCGCCCCCCACGGATGACCTAATGCCACCATGTGGGATGTTAGGCCATCGGCTTAGACCGATACTAACAGCTAGTTATTCATGAAACCACTCTGACTCTCAATTTGCTCAGAACACAGGCGAGGATGGGGGAAGGAGTTCCAGGCATGTAAAGGAAACACTCTATTTCAGCACATCTTGGATGGCTCTAGAAAAGGCCTAAGCCATGTGAATACACGCACCTGCTAAATTCCTTCATCATTTCAGAGCAGCAGGGACCTAGCAGATATGGAGCTACAGGTTAATAGGACCGTACCGCCCACCCCACCCCAGTGTGACAGACAGAGCACATAGACCCAGGCAATCAAGCCAGGGGTCTACAATACAGGAAGCAACGTCTGTTTGGCACTGGGGGCGGGGTAGGGGGTGGGGGGTGGGGGCAGGGGCGTGCCTCTCTGGGGGTGGTGACTATTCACTTAGCAGCCTGCCCAATGAATGCAAGACCTCTAACCAGCACGGACACCTCTATTCCTACCTGCACGTCACACAGACGCTCAGGGAGCTTGTCTCTCAGTTAACTTCACATCTGCTTTGCTCACCTGTTGCCGGCTCAGGTCCTGGAACCAGCGGAATGATCTTCTCTGGCTCCTCCCTTCCAGCAGAGCATCCGGCAGAGCTCCTGGGTGTTTCTTCACGAGTACTACCCGCTGGTGGGGTCTCCCCAGGCAGGAGGGCGTGCACTTTGCCGGCAGAAGCGCTCTCCAGCTGGTCAGCCCGGGGTCCGGCCTCCGCAGGACTGGACGGTGGCAGGTGACTGATGTCGCCCTCTGTGAGCAAGGCTCCTGAGGCCCTGACGTGCTCAATGACGGCATCCACTATACGACTCGCAGCCTCCTCAATGGAGTCTGCGCTCTTAGGCAGGTGCCCGGCCTCGGCAGACACAGCGTGAGGAACAGGGGGAGCGCCCCTGTCCCTGCTGGGGGCCTGGTCATCACTGGTGGAGAGCCCTGCCTCTGCGGGGAGCTCCTTGGCAGTGGGCTGCAGGGGGACGGAGCGTGTGTCATTCATCTGTGCCTCCTCGGAGGCATCCCTGCGACAGCTGAGGTGGGCTCGCTCCGGCTTCCCTTTCTCCCAAACAGGAGGCACCGTCTCTGGGGCTGCAGCACCCTGGAGGTCCGTCCCACCTTTGTCCGGTAAGGCTCCTGGCAAAACCTGGATCCCGTTCTCCTGGCGCAGCAAGACTTCCGGAACGGGCAGGTCCTGGGCACTGTGTGACAGAGCCGTTCCCCTGGCTTCCGCAGTTCCCTGTAGCGCATTACCCACTGCCACATCCAATGCCATGTTTCCACTCGCCTCGCAAGCAGCGGTCTCTCCCTGGGCTTGAGCGTCTGTCACTCCATCCACAGCAGAAGGTCCATTGCAATTAGGAGCCCGAGAGGCATCTGGGGACAGACCCGGCAGCCGAGGTGAGCTGCTCTGCTCTGCACCCCCGGCTTCCTGGCCCGCGTCTGTGGCCAGACCTGCTCCCGGTGGCACTGGGCTCTGGGCGGCCCCACCTTCAGTCAGCAGTGAGGCTGGTGGGGCCACTTCCTTGTTGTGTTTGGTTTCTGCATTCAGACAGGCCCAGGGTGTGCCCCGGGAACCACCGTGTTCAAGTGCTTTGTCCCGGGCACAGGCAGCTGCGCCAGGTTCTCCCTGGTCCCCTGGTGACTCCTGTCGCGGAGGGTCTGTTCCCTGCTCTTCCCGCAGCGCCCCTGAAGGAGGCGTGTCCTCCTGAGTGGAGGAGCAAATCACTGCTTTAAATCTGTCACCTTGTCCCTGGGCCGCAGAGCTTTCTGGAACCACCGGGCTGTTTCCTTCTTCAGTCGAACTGGAATCAGAGGCCAAAGGGGCCTCAGCCACATGTAGCCGGGAAGAGTCGGTGCCCCCTTCCATGTTCCTAACTTCAGGGGCTGCTGGGAGGCAGGGGTCCTCCTGCTCCTCCCCAAATCCTCCAGGACTGGCGTTCCCCATGCTGGGCTGAGGATCCAGGGCAGCGGGGGGTGTGGGCAGGCCTGCTGCACGGTCTTCTAGTGGCTGCTTATCTGGATCCCTCCAATCTCCGCCATCTCTACCGTCTGTAGCGGTAAGTGGCTGGGGAGCTGCTGTTCCCTTTTCATTCTGGGAGGGGACAAGAGAAAGTGCGTCATCTCTCGTTACTGATTCACTGTCTGCACTGCCTGCCGGAGAGAAAGTCCTGCCTGATGTCACCGCCTGGCCGGGCACTGGCTCTCGCTGTGCTTTGGGGACAACAGCGTGTGGATGCAGCTCCACTTCAAGCGCGTTTGTGAGAGGTGTTTGTGAGTTCACACCTCCTGTTTGGCCCCCTGTATCCAAAACTTCAAGGGGACAAAAACCCACATCTTCCTGGGTGTCTCCTCCAGGGTCAGGGGTGGCGGTCTCAGCCTGTGGGCCTTCCGGGCAGACGGCAGTGGGCGGAGGCTGTGCGTGGGGCGGGCCTGTGGCGGAGCCTCCAGGCTGGGTGACTGTGTCATCACGATGCTCTGCAGCCAGCGCACCACTAGACGTCACTGTGCTCTGTCCACCGGCAGGGGCAGCTCGAGGTTGATCGTCTCTAGGTGGAGAGCAGATGGGTGGCTGGTCATTCTGGCTCTGAAGATGAGGTGAATTCGTTTCTGCTTTCTCCTTCGGCAAAGCATCTTTCTGTGGCCGGGGGAAGGGTAGATCAGCGGACGACACTGCCCCACCCGTGTGTGCTAAGGGAGCGTCCATCTTGCCATTTGCAGCAGCTGGAACGCTGGCAGGGCTCTGATCACCAGCACTCGCATCACAACGTCTGGAAGTTTCTGTTTCGGCAGTTTTTTCAATAGGGGCTCCTCCATGACTCAGTACAAGTACCGACTCAGCAGGCGTCTCACCGTCCAGGGAGCTGGTGGCAGACACGCAGTTTGGAACCATGGCTTTATCCACTGGCTGCCTTGTGTCTTTGACGTGAGAGGCTCCAGCTGCACCGACATGAGAGTTCTCTAGTCTTTCCTTTGTCCTTTCCCCGGCAGCTGTGAGCACCTTCTGGGTGGTGGCATCTGGGTTCCTGAGACCACGCTCCGCTCCCTCTGCGGTCTCTGGGACACCAGCATCTCCTGTTGACCTGCCTTCCTGTTCACCTGCAGGGAAATGCGGGGCCGGGCCTGACTCCATGAGTGTGACTCCCGGCAGGGCAGCACCCCCACTGCTCAAGCTCAGAGACCCCGGGGCTGTGGCCGCTGTGATAGGTTTTGCTTGAGTTTCTTCACTTCCGATTTCACAGGGTGGAAGGCCTTCTTTCCCCTTCTCCCCACAATCAGACATGCTCTGAAGGCAGCTTTGGGGATTAGACCGAGTCTCAGAGTCCACGGTAGGCTCCGCCTCTTCCTCTTTTCTCTCCACGCCTTTATTTTTCTTCCTACAGGAACGATCTGTGTTCTCTTCCTTGCCTGCACTGGAGGCATCAGAGAGACGCTCCACCTGCACGGCCGTGATCCCCAGGCCGCATGGAGAGCTCTCCGCACCGGCAGGAGGGGAGGAAGGCTGCGGGCTGTCCGTGGACGCTGATGTGCAGGGAAGGAACGAGCCATCTGCATCTTGGGCAGTGAGCAGACCCGAAGGATCCTGGGCTGTCACCATTAAGGGCATTAGATTGTCCATCTGCTTGAGGTTTGTTTTCTAGGAGGAAATGAAAGGAATTTTTTAAGAACTGTTCATGGGAAAAGACGTCACTGACATCTATCAACAAAAACCCAGTTGGAGAAAACTGACGACCATTCGAGCTCTTTGAGGCTACACGATGAGCTGATCTAAATAAAGACAGAGAAGTTTCCCCTGTTCCTGGTATCACTTTTCTCCCTTATAGCTCCACAGCCGATGGAATGATAAAAATAAACAATAATATAAAAGGTGAGCCCAGCCAGTGTGACTCAGTGGTTGAGCATCCACCTATGAACCCGGAGGTCATGGTTCGATTCCTAGTCAGGGCACTTTCCTGGGTTTCAGGCTCGATCCCCAGTGGGGGGCCTGCAGGAGGCAGCCGATCAATGATTCTCTCTTATCTCGGATGATATCCCAACGATTTGGGATTTCACTAATTGTTCCATCCCCTCAGGAGAGGCCACAAACAGGTTAAATAAAACTACAGGATTGCTCCCTAAGGATGTCATTTTGATCAAGATAAAAAGAAGCTGGTTTCTCTCTCTCCCTCTCCCTTCCTCTCTGAAATCAATAAAAATAAAATAAATAGATACGTAAACAAAAGCTTCTGTGCTATGCTCCTTAGCACAGTCAAAATTAGCTTGCCTCCAGTTCCTGTTGAAAGCATAACAGTTTCCTAAAAATTACGAACGCAGTTCATTAAATTTAATAACAGGCAAACATTACAGAACAGAGACTGGCAGAAACAAGTGGCATTTCTTGAAAAAAACACTAGATGCTCCTAACACATGCATCCTCGGACAGTTTCAGTGTCTCATGTTCAACGATTCCCATACCTTGAGGTAGCTTTAACACCTGCAAACTGATAGTTTCAGCGGGACTCTGGTTCACCCAGGAAGAGAAGCCCGCAGGACAGCCTGACTTCCTGCCAGTCGTTCACAGGAAAATAATATGACACCTGTTCATATTGGGAAAGGCAGAGGCAAGCTCCGCATCCAACTCTCCGATGCCGGCGTCGGCCTGCTGGCCTCAGAAGTAATGCCTGCTCCCCAAGAAGCTTCTGGCACTGAGCTGACCCTAGATGACCTTAAATGAAATTATTGCCAAGCTTTTTCCAAATCAAATCATCTCTGAAATAAACTGGGTGGAAAAATGATCTAAACTTAGCCTTTCAGATGTTATGGCCGGAGAGCGGTACCCACATGACGTTCGTATTATCCATAATCAAAGCTATCAGGGAGTCTGTAATGTTTTTATGTCTGGCAACAACTTCATCTTGGAGGCCTTGAGTGGATTATAAAATCTTTTATTTTTTTTTTAGTGATCTTTGTACCATATAACTATCGATTCAGATACAGCAGCACTCATCACTCATTTAAAAAGTTGTGAAAAGGCTTTTTTCTGAGG